GTTAGTTATATTCCGGGGAAAAAAAACAAGTGGTCTAAAATAACAGACCCATAAAACTTACATCTTGACTTATTTTTATTTTAACTTTATTTCACCAGGAAAATCCCACAGAGATCACCAATCTCTTTTACACAGGGAGCCTGGGCCTGAAGGGATGAAGACGGAGTACCCGGAGAAACCCACTCAAACACGAGGAGAACATGCAAACTCCACACAGAATGACCCCAGGTCCACAACCGGAGCCTAAAACTAGGAACATATTGCTGTGAGGAAACTGCTAACCACTAATCCACTGTGCTACGATCACAAGCAGATGTAAAAATAAAGTAAATTTTCAGGAAGTAATCATTAGGTGTGTACATCTACAACTGACTGGATCGATCCATTGACTTTTGGAAACAACCCGATTCAATTGAACTGCCACAGCAATGTGACCGGAGCAACACATAAATGGCTACAATTCAGTCAATTTAAAATGTATTGCACTGAAATGTTGTATGGTAGTAGCTGAAAATCATTCAAAACACACACTCCAAGGTCATGAAATATAATGCACAAGATCAAAGTTCATGTTCAATAATCCAGTTTAAAAAATCCAACAAAGTTCAGTCCGGTCATCCGGACGATTTCTGTTTTTGTTGAGACGTTTCGTCCTTCATCCAAAGGACTTCATCAGTCCAAGGAGCCACAACAAACTCAAAACACCATTCACTGAGTATGAACTTTGATGTTTTGAACCACTTTGGCTATGGCTGCCTCAGGGGAGTCGACAGGGGAGAGGGCGGATTCAAGAAACCATCTTATCACCAGCAAACTGGTTGGTCCACTCTGGGAGTGTGCTGCATGTGAGACTGAGTTTGTTGTGGCTCCTCAGACTGATGAAGTTCTTTGGATGAAGGACAAAACGACTCAGAAAAAAAAAGAAAGAAACCATCCAGATGACCTGACTGAACTTTGTTGAATATAATGCATAAGGTTGCACGTAAAGTCGGTTTCAAGGCTTGACCAAAATGATATTCCTCAACAAGATGATCTTTAAACTCTGGCATTAAAGGGAGCGGGCGATATGCATTCGTTCAACAAATGCTAGGCCTTCCATAATGCTAGTTGTGTTTGTGGACATCTAGGAAGTAGGAATCAGTCCTGCATGCAGGACATTAATTACTATTCCTGAGCATCTGCGGGCTCATCTAGGCACAAACCAGAGGAAGTGTTATTCAAGGGCATGGAGGTAAAACTTCAGCAGGACCAGCCAACATCTTTCTGCTGTGCTCCTGATCTAAATGTATTCTAAAAGAGTTGTTTCAACCTGCGCACGACGGAGGACATGAATACAAAAGGTGCAGGCTTAGCAGGACGCCCAACGAATTAAACGTGCGACGACGTCCACGCCGCTAACAGGCGCAGCACTGCGGTGACAACGTGCAACAAAGCCGACGTCGTCACTGCGATCGCTCTCATCAACATTCTGCGTCCGCCGCTGCGAGCGAGAGCGTGGGGGGGGAGTGAGACGGGGAGCAGAAAGTTAATGCATAAATCTAAATGTAAGAGGCTGCCACTCAGAGGAACAAGGTCGGCGGTTGGCTGCGGTGGTGTGTGAGCAGCGGCAGCGTGCCGTGTGCCTGCAGAGTAGGCAGCTCTGATTAGAAAGCTGTGACACGTCTTACAGCGCTAACTGGCTCACACAGTTAGCATTAAGGTGGAGCAGTAATGCCATGCCTGTTTTTGTGTGAGCTTGTTTGTGACGTTAACAAAATTAGACAATTTTACACATACTGAGCTAAAACTTGGTGTGGTAGTAGCTGAGACTGATCCTTAATGTCTACTCTGAGCGTTAACACTGTGCAAAATCTGTGGTTACATTGTTTGGCAATACCTATGGGAGTCAACTCTGTCTGTTAGCAAAATACTGCATGACCTGCTTGATGGATAATAAGGAAACGTTCAGGAAATGATCATCTGATAAACCTCTATAGTTCATTAACTTTAAGAGCCAATACAATTCAAGATGGCCGCCCCAGCCAACTGAGCTTAGAAAAGACAATTATGGCTAAAATACAGACGGCTTTACAAATATTGTGCTACAATTGGGTGTGGGTGTAGCTGAAAAGCCACAAAACACAACGCCACTCATTGTGCTTGTGCAAGACCTTTGCCTAAAACTTTAGCAATAACTGCACAAGCTGTTCCTGGTGGTCTGTTAGCAAAATATCCCATGACCCACTGGATGGATTTCAATGAGCCTCTCAGAAAGTAATCGCACATCATACATCTATAACTGAAAAACTTTTGAAGTCAATCCAACTCAAAATGGCTGCCAAAGCTCATCAAAATTAGCTAACACAAACAGGACTACAACGATGTCAGTTTTACAAATACTGCACTAAAATTTGAAGGGGTAGTACCCGAGAGTCATCAGTTACATCATTTCTCAACATTAAATTGTGGAGGGTGATATGCATGTCTTCAAGGAGTCCTAGGCCTTTATCTTTAATGACTCATTAACATGCAGCTCACGTCATCACTACTGTACTATATAAAGTGTTACAACAGGGGGAACCACGGGCTTTCATTTGACCTCTAAATCCCATTGCGTAAAAAGGACACTGATGCAAAATATCATTTAGGTAGTGGGAAATGTCAGGGCAGTCAAGCAGCTCTAAAGGTAGAAGCTGACAAAAGGCACGGGCCAGAAGGGACAGGGGACAAAAGAACGCTGCAGATAGGACTTTTAAAGGAAGGCAGAGGGCAGCGGCAGCATTTGTACACAAAGCAGACAGTTTCAGTGAGGGCCATGGGGAGTCATGGGTGGAGTAGTTTCATTAACTGGAAAGGACGCTGGTCTTTGACGGTGTCGTTCAACGCAGGGAGCAGCATTTCACCAGCACTGCAGGAGAACGCCGAAATAGATGCACTTAGTATAATTCAACAGTAACGCAGCAGAGGAGACGCACCGCCTTTATCCTGACAACCTTTCAGACAAAAATGGTTGCCGAGCTCCACATCTGAAACATGATCAAAACAAACCCTGTGCAGAGGAGAAATAAAAGAGGTTTGCGGGGGGTGTAAAGGCAGCTGTTCTCGGTTTTAACCACAGATCTGCTGAAGAACAATCACGCTTTTTTAATCCACATGGATATTTTCAGCCCAACTTTTTGAACACTAATAAAACAGTCTGTGTCTGACAACAGAATAAAAAGACTGGAGTGAGTGGGAGTCCTAACTTGAACCCCCTCCAAATAGCTGTGTGGTATGAAAATTAGGCAACAGGGCAGCCTGGGCTCAGCTCGTGGCTTCATAATCATTCAGCGTGATGCACACAAGCAATCCGTTACACAACAGAGGGCTCCCCTGCTCCTGAATTAGCTCAGTGCAATGCAGGAATGCCTGACAGATGAACAGCTACAATCTCTTTCTAAAATTAAACGTCTAGCATTGCTTAACGGAACGCATCTCACGCACTGCATTTCAATCCAGTTTTAGACTAAAGTCATTTTATGTTGAGAAATGATTCGATTATATTCGTTTTGGTGAAACCTTAAAAATAACGTGCAGCAGAATACCATTCTATATTGCATTGCATCCACACAGACATAGTTGGGACATTGTAAGTGCATTTAAGAATACCTCATTCATAAACTGTGGAATAAAACTAATGTTTATAACTAGGCCTGTCACGATAAATTTTGCTCGGCGATTAATTGTCTCAGAAATTATTGCGATAAACGATAATATCATTAGAAATGTGACAATAATTACTTTTCAAATTTAAGAATAAATGCAAGTTAATTTATTTTGAGTGTAGTACCTTTTTCGACCACCGGATGGCAGTATAAGACTGTTTGAACCGAAGGATGAATAGTGAGGGAACGAGCAGCGTCTCTCTTAAAGAAAATTGGGAGAGAGGCCCCCTGACGTGACATGGGCTGTCTCTCTTCGGTTCTCAAAATGGCGGACGCTCGGAGTGGTTTGAGCTCTTTAGTATAGCATAAACAAGTTCTCAGCTTCTTTTTGCAGATAAAAACTTTTTACACGAAGGCACGGGCTTCAACCGTGAATTTTGGAGCTTCGACAAGACGGAGATTTTTTTTTCCCCAAGGTCGGCCTGTTAGCTTAGCTCGTAGCTTAGCTGCTTTTAATGATCCAAAAACCCGATTTTGGATGGTTAAAATAGATTTCAAAGAGAAAGAGAGGAGTCAGTGAAGAGCACCGGAGTTGAGCTTTTTGTCATCCAGTGTCTTCAGTAGAAAGAGAGAGACAAAGAAACGATAAAGCCGTTAAATGAAAATGAGGTTGATAATTTTCATTTATCATGCGATTAATTTATTGTTTATCGCGACAGGCCTATTTATGACCCAAGTGTAACTTCAAAAATTAAAGACAATATAAGTTTCATTCAGCTCTAATTAAAAGGTGAAATGAGGCAAACCTCACAGAAGTCTATTTGTATGCCTCCAAATGTAGATGTGACATTCTGTGACTGGCCTTTTTAAACTCACAAAAATCCATAAAACCTCAAACGCATCAGGCAGACAGCATATTTACACAATGACTGATAAGAACATTAACTGCTATCAAGCTCCAGCTGGGACAGACTGGAAGACGGAGGCTCACGGGAACAGCGGGGGGGTTTAGTGATTAGATTACAGCACGCAGCATTAGATGTGTACAAATAAGTGAGGATCAGACACGCAAACAAGGAAATAAAAAAAACAAAACACAAACTAGAATAGGTAAACCATAAGCAAGTTTCTGAAGAAAGACAGGAGCAAATCAAAGCCACTCTTGGATAAGAATTAAAAAGCAATCTGCAAAGGTGGGCGGCAGCTTTAATGATGGTTTGGGATTAGAGTAGTTTCAGTCCTCTGGGAGTTTATCTGTGTGTGCTGCTTCGTCTGTGTGCTTGTGAGTGTATCTGGATGTGTAAATCTGGACAAGAAAAAGAAGCAGGTATCGAGTGGCCGTACTGCTGACGCTCGCAGCGAGGCTGACAAACTTACGATGTGAGGAGAGTCACGGTCCATGGAGATGACGGTCCTGTTAATGGTCCTCAGCAGCTGCTCCATGATGATCTGCACGTGCCACTGGGTGGGGCCCTGCAACAATTACAGATGCATGTGATGTCAGGAAAACAGAAGAAAATGACACAAATGAACAAAAACAAAAAGATAATCTTTTCATCACAGAGTCATTTCAACTCACTGTCTGAAGACGCACTTTCTACTTTATCTGAATGCAATGATTGAGTAAAAGATGAACAGTTTTCCTATTTATAGTTTCTTCCAAAAGATTAATATTTGCATATAATACTAGCTGTTTTAGCCTTTTGCATCTTTGATACAGTTTTGCTACATTTCACTTTCCGCTTTTCCAGATTTAGCTTTGTTTTTGCTCATTTTAGCTGCAGTTTTCCTAACTTTAGATTTTAGCTATCCTTCCACGTTATGGTTTTAGCCATGCGTTTGCCAATTTAAAGTTTTACCTTCATTTTAGCTTTTACGTTTAGCTATGACGATTTTAACTTGTAGCTGATTTTGACATCTGTTATTATTATTACCGTATTTTTCGGACTATAAGGTGCACTGGATTATAAGGCGCAATATCAATGAACAGGTCTGTTTTCATACATAAGACGCATTAAGCGAAACTAAAACATTTTGACAGATTTTTGAGCATCATGTACCATATAAAATCCATTTGAGGTCAGTAAGCACAACCAGAATGAATACATAAGGAAACAATTAACTATTATTAACTAATTTTTTAACTAAATCTCAATAGCATTCACATTTTATTCTTCTGTTTTAGTCAAAGTGCTCAAATGACTAACTCATCTGACAGCAGATGTAGGTAACAGATGTGTAACATGAGTTACATAAATTCATAAAAAATAGAATTAAATTGGACCAAATATGAGGCCCTGAGGTGTTGGGTTAAAAAATAAATGAGGAAAATCTCCTCATTCGTTTGATTAATCATGTCAGGGTATGTGCAAGTCAAGTCCTTTAATTAAAGTTAAGGCTGAAAAAACTATAAATATAGACAATAGTTGGGAGGTCCTGCTGTATTACACCCAAACATAGCATGTGTCACTCAATGAGACACAATCAAGTTTAGTTTTTGTCTGTTTATTGAAGATAAAGTTGCTACAGTGTAGCTGGTACTTTTTTTTTTTTTAATCTCCTAGGTCTGTCTGTAGCTCTGTGTGCTGGAGAACTCATAAAGTCAAGCAAAACAAATTTAAAATTTTCAAAAATCAAAGGCAGAGTTCTGCGAAAGGTATTTATTTTATTTTATTTTATTAAGAGAACTCCCAGACTTGTGTGATCTTGTCATCGATAGCTCCTAGATTCTTTTTTTTTTAACTCTCTTGGTTTAACGGATGTGCAAGACAGATATGAAAGAGTGTGTAAGCCTGGCAGCGGAAGCAGCTATTTGGAGTGCGGCGAGAGGAGGGAGCGTAAAGGCTGGAGCAAGTGGGAGTGGGAGATAATCCTTGCAGAGAGTGGAGTGTGGGAGGCCAGACCACGCTGATCAATGGCGAGCGTCTGAGAGGGCCTAGGGGAGGACATCACGAGTCTTAGCAAGGAAGACGATCAAACACACTCAGAGCAGCTCAGTATTGGAGAGCGTGTGTGAGCCACTATAAGAGCATGAGAGGGTCAAAGCGTTGAATCTCCAGGGAAAAAACATGTTTTTTTTTCTCGTGTGTGCTGAAATAATCAGAAGACCAATTAAGTAGTTAAATAAAGTCCTTGAACGAGTGCAGGATCTTGCAGAATGTGTTAGTGTTTGGAGTATGTGTTGTGACTGTCAGCTACTACCACACTGAATATAGGTGCAATACCTGTAACGTCAGCTCAAGTATGGCCATAGTTTTTTAAACCTGTGGTCCCCATCTTTAATCGGGTTGACTCCCTAAGTTTTTCAGCTGTAGATCTTCACCCAATTAATAATTTCCGAGAGTTAAAATAAAATATACTCTCCTTAAAAGGTAAATACAGTAGTTCCTCTCGACGCCGCGGTTCGACTTTCGCAGACTCGCTCTATCGCGGTTTTTCAAAGTACGATTGAACACGAGAATTTTTTTTTTTAAATAAAAATGTACAGGACACACGATTGCCAACTTTAATATTATGTGATTGGGACAGTACTGGTTACAGTGCTGTACGGTAAAATGTTAACGAAAAAATAAAACGCTTCCGACAGGCACCGCCATTTTCTAGTTTTCCCTCAGTAAGCCTACACTGTATTCCTGTTAATAAAAACCACATTTCCCAGAAGGCAACAGGGACCCACCCAGAAGTCCCGTTTCCTTCTGCTGAAAAACTAGAGGTAAAGTTTTGATCTGACCTGAGCGGATGCAAAGAAGCAACACAGAACCCATCAAACCGAACTAGACCAGAAGCAGACCTCCTGATCCAACGGTGAATCTTGAGAGCTGGTAGCCCGCCCATGTGGACCTCAGAGCTGGGACGCATGCCAATGGTCTGGCGGTCGATCCAGAGCTCCAGGTCACATTTCTTCATGTCTTTCAACATGTTGACGAACAGCCCTCAGTGGACACGCATAGCCGAAGGTCCAACACTCCATCCGGAGCTTACCGGGACTTTTTTCATGTCTTTCAACCGGCCGACGAGAACCTGCGCACTGGTAAGTAAAATTTAGAAGCTACTGTACATAGAAGTATGTTCTTAAAATTAGTAGGTTTAAGAGTTGAGAAAACTGATTGTGGGCTTCATTAAATTAGGGCAAGTCAGCAGAAACTAACCGAGTCGGACTGGAACTGAGAGCCGCTGCAGTTCTTCAGAGCTGGCAAATAAAATACAGTACTGTACACATGTTGTTAAAACGATGTCGGTTTAAGAGTTTAGAGCAATGCAAGAGTGTGGGAAGGGTTTCTAAAGCCTTAATAGATTTATAAATATTAAAATAAATATAACGTCAGAATATTTATAGTTTATTTTAATAATTATTATAGTTAATTTATATTATTTATAGATGACTCACCAACCTGGAGCAATAATTTAGTAAGAATAAACATCTTTACAAGAAAGTAAATTAGGATGACGATGTCAAACTAGTCTTGTTAGACCAAATAATTCATTTTAAACAGTATATTTTCACCAAAATACTTAAAAATGTGTTTGCTTCTTTAAAGCGGTGCTGTTGGACACTATTCTGTTCATCCTACAGGGAAATAAAAGCAGAGAGCAGCGTTTCGTACCACATCCTTCCTGTAAAGCACCTCCAGGATGTCACAGAGCAGCTGGCAACAAGCCTTCGGTTCCTCCTCCTTCTCCAGGTGGAACTTCAGCTGCTCCGTCATCAGCGGCAGAAGGATTTCACGGCAATCTGCAGGGACGCCGACAAAAACACATATTTGCCACGGCTCTCAACACACGGAGCAGATGATAGACCACACATGGCGGTAACAACATATGGTTTTGACTCAGCCGGCGCAGACGCACAGAGCAGAATCTCAGCAGAATAAATTAAAAATGTTTTATTTATTTATTTAACCGATTTGGGGAAAATAGGTAATAAACAGTAAAGTTTTGTTGTCCTATAATTACATTATCACACACGGGCTGCTGTGTAGCTGATCCTGCCTAAGTCAAGTCTTCAGCTGAAAATTAATCAGAAGAGACTCGTGCCAAGTTGAACCACCTGTTCCACGTAATTAAAAAAGTGCCTAAAGAACTTAAAGCGCACTCAATCACAATCCTCCATCTCCGTCTTCTACCACTTATCTGTTGTCGGGTCGCGGAGGCAACAGGTCCAGGGGAGAAACACAGACATCTCTCTCCCCAGCAACACCCTCCAGCTCCTCCTGGGAAACCCCAAGGCATTCCCAGGCCAGAGAGGATATACAATCCCTCTAGCGAGTTTTGGGTCTTCCCCAGGACCTCCTACCAGTAGGACGTGCCCAGAAAACCTCTAAAGGGAGGTGTCCAGGAGGCATCCTAATCAGATGTCTGAACCACCTCAACTGGCTCCTTTCGATACGAAGCAGCAGCGGCAATAGACCGAGCTCTCCCTAATCTTGAACCTTTTCTTAAATATTTTATAAGAAATGAGTAAAGTATCAAACCTTCTACTAACCCAAGGTTGGAAACTTTTACAATTAAAATACATTTTTATCAACTTTCCTACATCAGACTTTTTTTTTTTTTTTGGTGCTGTGCTTGGTGTAACTCAATCATACAGGATATGGTAAATAAAAATAAATAAATAAATAAATAAAAACTGGACTTCTATTCTGTGGTTAAGAATGTTTCACTTCCCATCCAATTGAATTGAGAAAGTTCCCATTGGGAAACGGTTACGTACTGTAACCCCAGATTCTATGAGTATAAGCGTAGCCCTTTAAGGCTGTCGCTGATGGGTTGGGTTATCCCGATATGCGGAGCATCACACAGCTGGCAGGGAGATGGGAATGCATCTACGGTGCCTCCTTTTCAACTCTTTTGAAAATTGGGGCTGTAGCTGAGATATTCTTTGAGTTTTGTTGCATTGTGCCAACTTTGGTTTATTTCTTTAAGTGTATAGTTAAAATAAAGAACAAATAGTTCTGAACAAGAAAATTCCCCTCAACATTTAGAGATAATTTAGCAAACTTCCTGAAACTTTACAACAATAAAACGTACATTAAAGTCAACTGAACTTAGATTAATGCACCCCCCCCCCCAGATAATTTAGTGCTTTAAGAAGAAAAAACAAGCTGAGCTCAAATAAAATCTGAACCCCATCACTAAATAAGAATCCACACTCCTCCGTACTGCTGAAGGATGTATAATAAACTGAAACATGATGAGCAGAATGAATAGAAAAGAACTATAAGGAACTTGTTGAAAAATACCCAGAGGGGAAACAAAACATGAAACCAGTCCCTGTTTTACATTTTCTGAACTGCATGTCCAATGAGGATGAAGTAAGTTGTTTTGTAAAGAACAAAATCTGTGTAAAACTTTTGATTTGAGCCACTGGAATCAACTCTATTGACAAAAAAAAAAACAATCATAAACTACAGGATGGATTTATTTAAAACTTTCAGAACATAATTAAAAGATCAATCTTCAACGTAGTCAATTCAAAACAAAATGGCTGCCACAGCCAACTCACCTTAGACAACACTAAAATGTCTATAACTCTGCCAGTTTTACAGATATCGAGCTAAAATAAGCTGTGGTAGTAGCCGAGTCATTCACAACGTGTACTCCAAGCACCATGGAAGATCTTGCAACATTGTTGCAGACTGGGCAAAAAGTTGTTTCCAAGGTTCAAATCAACATTAAATTATTTTGGTCTAAAATGCTGGCATGAAAAGCCGGTTAGTGATATGCATTCTGTCAAAGAATGCTAGGCCTATAATCTAAAAAAAATCTTTTCCAAAGTGGAGCCCAGCTTGATACTAATGTGGAGATGAAAAATCTACCCAGCAATTAGCATTATTTGTCACTGTTTTGGCAAAATTTCTAAACACATAGCACAACAAAGACGAGTGGAGCCGTTCGGAGCACCGGGGCACAGCGTCATTGTGAAGCCTGAGCAACAGGATAATCCGTAGCTACGTCGTTGAAAAAAAAACAACCTTTTCCCGTTGTTCAGCAGTCCATTCATAAGCATCAGGGGAGGCTCGCTCGTCCACAATTATAGCAGTAAATCAATAGAAATGGCCACAGGACCACGCACTGAGCACTGCCCTTCAATAGCGACACACTGAACTGGCTAAACCACCAATTGGACAATTTTATGTTTCAAAAGTATGAAAGCGGTGGATCATTAAACTGAAAGCGGTGACATTTACACCGTGTTGTGTTCAATATCAGACGTTACCGAACACAAGACAAACTTCTCATTACACCCGGTTCCAGTTCCCTTTCATTGCTTATCGCCTACATGTGGACTGATGTAATACGAGCTTAGAAACGTGCCCTTTGAGTGGAAAAATGCTTTCCTGTTCGTTAATTGGCTGCCGTTTCTTTTTTTTGCCCCTGCTGGCAGTTGTACAATAGCTGTTACCACTGAAACACAACAGGTGAGCCTTGTTTTCTCACATGAATACCTTCACGTCCCAGAGTAATGGTGCCCCTTGTAAACTTCTGTAATAAACTAAGGAACTACTACTATCTTAGCATTCCTTGAAGGAACGCATATCGCCCGCCGCTTTTCATGCCACAGTTTTTAACAACTTTTGTAATTCAATTCAACTCAATTAACTTCAATTCGCAACTAAGCTCCATCTTATATTACTGATCTTATTGGTCCATACTTTCCTAACAGACCACTTCACTCTCAGACTGCAGGTTTATTTGCGGTTCCTAGAGTTTCCAAAAACTGAATGGTAGGCAAAGTTTTCAGTTATCAGGCTCCTCTCCTGTGGAATAAACTTCCAGTTTCTGTCCGTGAGGCTGACACATTGTCTACTTTTAAATCTAGGCTCAAGTCTTTTCTTTTGGATAAATCCTATAGTTAGGGTCAGATTGAGTTTCCTGAGCTGTCCCTTAGTTATGCTGCTATAAGCTTAGACTACTGGAGGACAAACTGATCTCATTTCATTAAATTATTAGTTTGTATTAGTATTTATTTCCATCTTAATGTGTTTTTTTGTCTTTCCGCCTAGTGAGGGACCTGCTCGCCTCCATTCTGGACCTGCCATTCTGTGTCCATTGCTCCTTCCGGTCCTCTCAAACCCAGCAGCTCGAAGGAGATGATCACTTGTCCTGAGCCTGGTTCTGCTGGAGGTCCTGTTATGAGGGAGTTTTTCCTTTCCACTGTTGCCTTTGTGCTAGCTCAGGATGGAAGACTGCGACAAAGTGAACACTCAATGCAGTCTGATCCTTAGATACAGTAGATAACTTTAATAATTGGCATTTAGAATGTATGTGAATGTTTCTGTTCAGTGCCCTGAGACGACTTCTGTTGTGACTTGGCGTTATAGAAATAAACTGAAATGAATTGAGAGGGATCCGTTATTTGCATTCAGTGATAACTTTCTGTAAGTTTTCTATTTTTATTTTTAAACATGCCGAGTGGTTCATGAGATGCTTTGGTAACACACAGATAAATGAACAAGTGAGCACAGAGACATGTGCAAAAACACTATGGTCCGTTTTCGCTGTTTAGCGGCAGACAATAAGAAAAATCATTAAATAAAGTTATAAAGTAAAAGAAGCAGCATGGACGACTGATAATCTGAATAAATGGGAGTTGTTGTTTTTCATTAAACATCAGTGTAGGTTTTTATGGCAGCAGAGATGTTTAACTCCTTTACAAAACAAGAAAAATTCCCACTCTGCTTCATCCTTGACCTTTACAGAAGCCTCCAGCAGAACTGGCAGGTGGTGGTGTGATTGCCTAGATTTCTGAACCGTGAGTAAAGTTCCATGCACTGAAAAACTGTGAGTAAAATTACTGAGATTGTGTGTGTGTGTGTGCTCTCACCGTGATAAGTAAAGAGATCGCTGTGGATGATGTCAATCAGACAGTCTAGCTTCTGTTTCACCAGGCGACCCTGAGGGACTTTCAGGATGAACTCTGTGAAAAGCTTGCTGTGGCGAAAGGAGGACAATAAAAGGTCCAACTGATCAGACATCTCAGGCTGGTTGACTGATTACAATCATTATCTAAAAAAATAACCAACAAAGTTAGTCCTATATTTCCTGGCTATAAGTAAGACAGCATAGGATGTACAATTATTGTATGCAATTAATTTATTTTCAGCGTATTTTTATATTTTAGAGCTGACGTTTACAGTAAGTACCGTATTTTTCGCTGTTTAAGTCGCACCTTTTTGCATAAATTTACAAGTTCTGCGACTTATACACTGAAGTGACTAATATACATATTTCCCATATTTATAACCCAATTTTTGGCTGAGTTTTGAAAATTTCTTTCATTCTGGCATGGAAAATATTGAACACTACCATTTTCAGCCGCTAGAGGGCCATCGACCAATATGACAAGCCAAGTGTCTCATTAATAGGTAAAAGTGGTTATTAATGACACACTTGGCTTGCCATACCAAGCCAACTTCGTCTCGTTCCGGAACTCTTGGAGCAAACATCAAATCAGCTGCATTTCGTCACGCCGCCCAGGCGAAATGCAGCTGATTTGACCATTAAAGTGCATTTATTAAGGAAAAGTTTAACTGAGACACACCTTTGCTATAATTTTGAGCAAACAAATAATTTTTTTAAGTGTTAATCTTGTTAAAGTCCTCCCGTGCACGCTCCCGCGGCCGCTGTTTGGCAGCCAATCGATTTCTGGCACAACAACAGCCCGCATTTCCGGGTGGTCAGCGGTGACGCATAACAAATGCAACGCATCAGCGGTGATACATAATAGATGTGACTTATACATCGAAGCAACATGTTTATGTTTTTTTCCCCACTTTAGACATATTTGGACTGATGCGACGTGTCCGACGGCAAGTACAGTTTTAAGATACCAATGTATAGTTGATGCATGTGGACTACACTTATTAAAAAATTGTATTTCCGATTCACGTGATACGAGTCACCAAAGATCAAACTAGAAAAATTAAGCAGTTCAGACGTTAAAAGAAAAATCTGCATTCATAAATTCACATAAAACTGGTTGGTTTTTCTGCCTTGAAGAGACTGTGAGCTCATTACGCAGGCAAGCTGAGGCTCAAGGAAGAGAGAGAATGTTTTGGCACCGGATGAAACGCTCTTCATCCCAAAGGCTTCGGTCTGGTTGCCTCCAGTGCAGGATCTTGGTGAGGTTTGTGTAAGCAACAAGAACAGCTGATACAACCTTTGCTCAGCCACCAGAAAGTCAAGCCTGCGATTTCACAATTACAGCTGGAATCACAGATTTGTTTTCTCATGTTTTTCTTTACATTTGGACGTGCAATAGCTTGTGAAACGTATATATGAAATACATGGACAGTAAGGCAGCAACACATAAAAAAGCATTTAAAACTACCGTAATATCAACATTGGCACAAAAAGGCTGAATTTACCTGGCTTTAAAACAAAAAAGTGAATTTAAGAAGCCTCCGTGCAAATAGCAATATTTGTGCCAGCCAAGATCAGCTACAAAAATAATAAATCTAAACAGAAGAGTCTCTGATGGTAAATTATTTGGCAAAATATTGTAAATACAACGCAAGTTTGTATCATCAATTTTAATCAAGTGAATGTAAATGGAATGTTTAATCAGATTAATGGTAACTAATGGTAATAAAAATCTCTAGCCTTTTCTGAGTTAAATTTTTTTTAGTTTTCTTTAGTGTGACTAACTTTTCAAACACATTTACCTTGACTGCCCCTTTGACTTGCAAAAAAATATACACACAACTGGTGTCAGAAGTACTTGTAATGTGGGGGGGGACACACTGGTGGTGGGGAGGGGTCTGGGGGTCTTCTCCCCAAAAATTTAGAATAAAGGAGATGCCATTTCCTGCATTCTGGTGTATTTTTACAGGATTTTGTACATCTACGTTTACCTATATAAGTAAAGGCATGATTCAATAACTATTTTAGAGAGCAACAAGAAGTAGCCTGACCAACAGCTCTCCTTGTGTGAATAAAGCACGCTCCACTTCTCTCATGCATCCTAGCCCCCTGGTCAACAACTGCTGGCACTGAGGTAACGCTAAGCTAGCATGCAACACAGAAGTGTCTCCTCCTCCTCACCCATCCCACCAAACCAATTGACCTCGGAGAAACACTGTATGCTGTATGTATGCTGTATGTATGCTGTATGTATGCTGTATGTATGCTGTATGTATGCTGTATGCACGCTCCTACAAGCACTCTGCAGTTGCTGGATGCTGCCTATCATGATGCGCTAAGATTCATAACTGGCTCTAACTATCGTACCCATCACTGCACCCTGTATTCACTGGTTAAGTGGTCATCATTAACTTCACGCAGACTCTCCCACTGGTACATTTTCATCTTTAAATCACTTCTTGGTCTGCTGCCTTCATACATCTCCTACATGTCACTGCGTGAGTGCAGCTACAGTGTGCGCTCTGAGGACATTATTACCTGCAGTGTTTTTTACCTGTAGTATTTTTTAAATGTAAGGGGGACACATCCCTTTCACATATAACTGTTGTGACACCTATGACACACACACACACATATACATACGCAAGCACATAACATATATAAACATATATGTTGCTTGTATGTCCTTTCAACGGGCATCTTAAAAAGTAGTTTAGTCAATTTAGTTTGAAAACATGAAATCCAGTCTGCTCAGTATTTTCAAATTGAGGCATAAAATAAGCCATTCTGAAGAACAGATCGACAGATTACTGGTACCGGTATTATCGACACTCATAACTTAACTGTGCACGTGTGTGTGCCACTTCATAAAGAATCTGTTATGAAGACTAGCATTACGCCATGCCTGATGACATTCACATGGGGCAACATTAACGAAAATGAACCCTTCAGTGGAGCAGTCAGAGAGTTTCCAAGGCAACCTGAGCAAGTTTAACCAGAGGACATGGCTGCAGAACGAGCGAAGGGGCTGAATAACAGCACTCGAGAGGTGAAGAGGCAGACAAATAAAAATATGGTGGAAATACAAACATCAAAGCGAGCATAACATCCCATCAGTTTGTCTCAACACCATCTTTACAGCAAACTTTAATCAAATGCGATGCATTATTAAAGAAAAGAAAATTCCTGCAAATATTTCCTAGCAGGAAGATTAAATTATGGACATTATCTTGCTGCAGCACTTCATTTTTACAGCTCACAGAAACATGGATTAAAGCAGAAAAAATAATTTTGACTGATTTGTTTTTTCTTTACACCTAGAGGTTACTCCCTCCATATTAGAGATATAGATTATTATCTAGATTATTTCATTCAAAGGGATTATATTTAGATGATTTCAGCTTGTAGTAATTTATACTATTAATTCATACTTGATCATTTATTAAATTACATTTATCACAGTACAGTTGCCTCTCAGTATGTTTCTAAATATAATCAACTTTAGCTCATTCAAACAGCCACACCACCTTGTTATTGTTAAAACACTGTATAGAACTAAATTTAGCAGATATTCATAATAAACTACAAACACTTGAAACTGACTCTCACAGAGATCATGAGCTTTGGTGAAAATTAATATTTTATATAATGTTATAATATACATTAATATGTTTTTAGAGAAACTAAAGCAGCAGAAACAGCCTCTCTCACAGTGGGAGAAACTCAACAGGCTGCGCGCTCCCACAGCGGTGCACGTCTCTTTCCCTCTCTCTGACCTGGAGTTTGGTCTCACGCGCAGTTTGCACATGTCTGCACGATAACACTCCAAACACATTAATTTTTAATACAAAGTTAGATTTTAGGAACAGAAGTCCCTGGGAGGTTGGGGTGCAGCGCTGGAGGAGAGGGGTGGGGTGATGGTGTATCAGTTATCAGTTCTGGTATGTCTCCCGGCTGAAGTGAGCTGGTCATGTGCGAACACATACGTTTAATAATTCACGTTTCTACATGTCATCACCTATTGGGGGGGGGGGGGGGGGGTCTATTAGGATCGCAGGGTGTCCTCCTTGGTTTGCTGCAGGTGAGAATTCACCTGCAGTCCCTCTCTGCTGCTCATCGTGAACCAGACAGAACGACACGCCCTGCTCTGCTCTGATTGGTTCAAACTGTGGCTCTGGTTCTCATCATTGGTTGAAAGCAGCACCAGTTTAATCCCCGTAGCATCATTAGATTGGATGGTTTTAACTAAACCACAGCAAAACGCGTTTTTTTTTCCCCTTCCTCATTTTCACAGACGACAGAAATTCGTCCTGGCAACGTTCAAAATGACGCATTTCCGCTGCGTTGACGAAGAACTTTAATCCATGCAGAAATAAGTATATTTTCATATAGTAGCAGAAAAAGTTCACCTCTATTACTTTTTCCTGTCAGAATAATTGTCTCTGCTGTGACTAAGTGATGTAAAAAACTTAATGATGTAAAGTAAATAAAATTACCTTAGTTCCTTTGGATCAAAGACCAACTTGACATCGTTGACAATGGTAGGAATGTACTTCAGTGCAGCGCCCTAAAAGAAATAGAAGAAAAAGAAACAAGCTCACTTTTGTTGGTTATGTTAATTTCTTAGCCATTCCATAATATACAATTAATTAGGGATGCACAATATTGGATTTTTGGCCGATATCCGATATGCCGATTTGTTAAAACGTATTTGGCCAATAACCGATACTAATACCGATTTTTTTTCTTCTTAGACCTACTTACAGAGACTACACAGCTTTCTCTGCTGTGGAATTAAAATACATTATTCTGCATGAGCTTTGTCAATTTGGCCTGTTACCGAATGCAGATGCCAAAAAGGGGCTGAAAATGAAAACACTTCAACTTGGATTATGTTTAATGTCAAATGTATTCATGACATTTACTCTCTAACACAATGACAACACTTGAACAGTGCAAATTTTCACAAATCTAAACTCAACCTGTTCACAAGTGAAAAGTACATAACAGTGATTTAATAGATATACTTGACAGTTTCTTAAATTAAAAATTAACTTAAAACCGGAGCCTTTTATATCAGTGAGTTATTTTGATGGAATGTTTGATGTCCGATATTGAACTTTATCGCTAACATCGTCCGATACCGATACCATGCCGATAATATCGCGCACCCCTACAATTAATGATAAAAAGGCATTTTTGAAGAGCAACACAATCAGTCAAAATTTTGGACTTATTGTGTTGAGTGGTAGTAAATGTGTATTTTGACAATAACTAGAGTTTAAATGCCATTTCAAAAGGCATTTTCACGTCAGTGTAAAAATTCCCTTGCAACTTAGTTAAATTTAAATTTAAAGTTTAAGTCACGTTAACAACTTTTAAGCCTAAAGCTATTGGGACATAGTAAAAGTAGAATCTCGTTGGCCTGCAACTATCAACAATTAGTTGACAAACGGCATCCACGAGGAAGTTTCCAAAATGCCTCGAAACATTTGCGTTCGGCACTTGAGCATCCCGGCGTCTTTCTGCCATCACAGTTTATTTTGAAAAGATTATAAAGTGGACACTATGGTTGCAGGTGAGCTCAGCTTTACTGGCTGATAATGTGCATCCCGATCCAAGCCGATCTAGTCGAACAAGTAAAAATGAAATAATACACTGTAAAGCCCTCTGGCTAGCAGAATTAGCAGAAACACATCTCTGCATCCAAAGCCTCCGTTTCATTAGAAGGACTTTCAGCTGCAGGACCTCGAGGGGAGTGGACTTTATTTTACCAAATGTCTTCATATCAGTTGTATGGACGCTGTCATTTTTCAGCAAAAACTTGAGACAGGCAATGGTCCTAAACCATTGCAGATGTTGGCAAATAGTTAAAATGAAATGTCTTATTTTAACAACTACCAATAAACTCAAGTGTTTTTGATAGCCTGGGATATAGTTTATACAGCCATGATTTGTAAAAACTGGCCATGTAAAATGCACTAATACTCAGAGTTAAGCGAGCCTATTTTCTCAGTACAATAAAGTCAAAGTGAATAAACACTGCAACAACTTACAGAGAGTCAATTAATAATGGCAATGATTAACCAGGCTGACACTTTCCACCCAAACTGACTGCTGCTAAATGCCAGCCAAAGGTGGGTTGGCATGTTTGTACAGCAACTGTGCAAATTGGCCTCGATGCCAGTCTGTCTTATAGACGTTGATTAACCATGAAGCAGCCGTAGCACACAGAATGTACTTATTAAAGTGCACGGTTTATATTTGAAACTTGTCAGAAATAATTGCCGGCATTTAAATGAAGCTGCAAAGGCAGAAAGCAGCGAGATGTTAAGTCTCGGCACACAACCAGCAGAAACTAACTTTAGACGACAACGCTCTCCTCACCACAATAATGGAAAAGAGAGAGTCACGGCACCTAAATAAAAATCTGCTCTGATCTATGCTAATCTTATTAGATAATTTTAGAGATTTAATATGCACAACGTAACCCCTTCATCCCTATCTGCAGGCAAAAAGATGCAAGGGAACGGGATATTTAAAGATTTTTGCTTTAGTTACAAAGTCAGACTTTTATTTTTCTGAAAATTAAAAATCAAACGCTTCTGTTTACCCCTTGAAAAACCCATTTGAGGAAAATGTCTGTTTTCATCCGGTTCCCAGCAGCAACTAAACTCCCACCTGTTGTGCAGCAATGTTTTTCTGTGGGTTTTTTTTTAGCTCCAGTTAAAAGCTTCTGTTTGCGTCTCAAAACCACCAGAAGCAGCTGTTTGTATAGATTGATCCACGTTTAGGTGGGCATGTGCATCAAAGTCTTTACTTTTATGTGTCCACGACAGTCCAGATGTTCATCACAATTATTTGTTTATTTTGCCAGCAAAGTATAATGGGACCGCTCATTAGCCGCCACCTGCCACACAGCTTTCACAGGATTTGTGAAGGGGACCAGGATTCCTTCGTTACGCAGCCGTTCCTCAAGATCAGTTTTTAATTTACTGACAGTAAAGCTAATATCTCACCCAATTACACAGCAACTGACTCCTAATTGACTTCTGAGCTCCTCGTATGGTTGACTGTGCACACGGATCTACTGTAGGTGTTCCAAGGTGCAAGCACCCTGTGATTATGTTATCTTTAAAAGCATAGGTATGCAGGAGGTGAGCGTGTGCAGGCAAAGCAGAAAGAAGGAAAAAACACATCTTTGTGTGCTTGGTTCCAATCTGAGGTCATTGAGTTCAGAGTAAATGCATAAAAAAGAATGCATATAGGTGAAAGGAGGAAGGCGGTGAAGTAAATACCTTAAGGAGCAGCTAAAGAGCAGAGTGCCAGAGGAGAGCCGTACATCAGGACAGGCAAGGTCAGAGTGAAACGTAGGAAAAGGAATCAGAGGGACAAACAACAGAAATCAACACACAACAAATACACAATCTGAGGATACAAGAAAGGTCTCAAAGGCTGCACAGAAACCAGAACTTCCTGCTACACTGGCAAAAGTTGTAAGCATCGAACCTAAAACTGTGTCTAATTTAAATAAAGTCAATTTGTTAATGTATTTTGGTTCATACAATTCACTCTGCTGTCTGTTTGAAGCTGGCCAGGAAAGATAAACGTCAAACAAGTTGCTGACCAACACTGTCTTTATAAAATGTATCTCAACTTATCTCTTGTTGCATTTTTTAACAATATCCCAATGTTTTATATTGTCCAGCTCTGGTCAAGGAACCTCTCGGTTTATGAATCACACAGATTAATGTTCATCAGTGTAATAAAATGTGACATGGGAGTAGATATATTTGGGAAAGCCTGTTTTGGCAAAGTCAAGTTGAAAGTATAAAAAAATATTTTCACAGTTGTAGATTAAAAGTAGTTTTTTTTTTTTCTACTTTCAGAAACAGAGAAGTTATTTTAAACGTGCCAAAACAGATTTAACAGTGACCTCATCCTACGAGATAAATAGTCACGATTGTAAAAAAAAAAAAAAGTTTTTGATGGAAATTTTTATTTCAAGAGGCCAAGCACATTCTGTCAGTACAAAAAAAAAAAAAGACACGCGCCCTCAGACTGATCCGACTCCCAAGATAAACAAGTATTTAACAGAAGGGACATGTTTAATCCATAAATATTCTGGCACCTAACACTCATTAGGAAGTGTGTTTTGTGCAGATTAAATAGATAGCTAAGATAAATATAACAGAAGACGTTATAGGAAGTTTGTTAACGTTGAACTTGAGCTTGTTTTTTTTTTTGTGTGTGTCTGGATTTAGTGCTTGGTAATTTCTTCAACCACTAACGTATTTGCTGCCGTACACGTTGCATCGCCGTTATGCCACATCTATTATGCGTCACCACTGACCACCAGGAAATGTGGGCCGGTGTTGTACCAAAAATGGATTGCCTGCCAAATGGCGGCCACGGAAGCGTGCACGGGAGGACTTTAACAAGAATCTAACAAGATTAACTCGAGATTAAGATTAATTTCACTTAAAACTATTATTTATTTGCTTGAAATTACAGCAAAGGTGTGTCTCAGTTGAACTTTTTCTTAATAAACGCACTTTGACAGTCAAATCAGCTGAATTTCAAAAGCCGATAAAATAAAACTACTACTTGAACGAAATGAAGCCGATTTGACGTTTGCTCCAGGAGTTCCGGAGTGAGACGAAGGCGACTTTGTATGGCAAGCCAAGTGTCTCATTAATAGCCACTTTTACCTATTAATAAGACCCTTGGCTTGCCATATTCATCTAGGGTCCTCTAGCGGCTGAAAATGATAGTGTGCAATATTTTCCATATCAGAATGAATAAAATCGTCTGATCTCAGCCAAAATTGTTTTATAAATAAAACGTATATTAGTCTATTCGGTGTATGTCGCAGTACTTGCAAATTTATGCAAAAAGGTGCGACTTACACAGCGAAAAATACGGTACTTTTCAAATGCTTTGATCTTCTAAATTGTAGTTTATGTGCAGCCTCAAAAAGTTACTATAAGAAAAGAAAAAGTGTAAAGAACTGGAAAACTTAAGACAGCAGACTTGGAAAACATAATTATAAGACAGAAGCAATCGATAAGAAGAAACTCAAATATCGATGTCTAATAAGCCGCAGTAGTAGTAATAAAAAAAAAAATCATGCATCTCCCCTCACAGAGGATGTCATCCAAAGCTAATCACAGCAGATTTATTTACTTTTCACACAACAGCAGTTATTTACTATTCATGCCGAAGTAGAACGTTTTCTGGCACAGTTTGAGCGATAGATGAGCTTGTGTGATAATAAGCCTACCTTCACCATGCCTGTGTTCTCTGAATTACTGTTCATCATGTTGTTAAAGGATGTGAAAAGGTTCCTCAAGGACTCCATGAAGTCGGCCTCTCCTTTGTTCTCGTAGAGCCTGGGAGGAGAGGAAGTAGAGTTAGTCTGGCAGACGATCAGGAGGCCGCCGTTTGTTTCATCCCTGTGCAAACAGGCCCACCTACGCTGGAAATGACAAGAGTTTGATGCTTCCCTGTTAAATCATTAAACACAGTAAGCAGAAAGGCCCATGTGTGTGTTATCCACGCAAACATTTTTGGATCAGAACCACAGACATCACTCTTGCTGCCAGCCGGATTAGCATTTCGAACAACATGACAAGACCCGGAAGATCCTGCCTGTTGTCATGTAGAAGCAAGTGTGTGAAAAATTAATGATCTGTGCTATTGACACTCCTAGAATACTACTAGAAGGGGAAAAAAAGGTCAAACTAGTTTGTTTGCTTTCTAATCAGCTTAAGGTACAGAATGAGTTGTTTTTGCTCATTTAAAGAGCAAATGCCGTTTGGTGCCTTTAATAGGAAGCAACTGATCTAAAGAGGAAAACACACTTCAGTTCATTTTAATCTGCACAAAAACATAAATCCAATATGTAATCATGATACCTAACATATTCATTTTTTACTTTATTTATTTACAGAAAGCCCATAAAGTTCCACCATCTTAATAATAGTTAGAAAAAGCAACTTTTCTGTCTTGTTATAAACAAGCGGTACGCCGAGGTCCCCAGTCGCTGACGGATTTGAATAGTGAATGTTTGTGTTTTTTGAAGATGAGTGTTTTTCCTGGATTGGAACTGAACAGGGTATGTAAGTTACCTTTAATGTTTTCAGTGCAAGTGGGTAGGAGTTTCACTGTATCCACCTTATGGGGGCTCTATTGTAGAAAAGATAATGAATGCCACTTCCTGTCAAGACAGGAAGTAGCAGTAAGCACTGGTTAACTATGGTAACAGAGCACAAACTGTGGTTTATTAGAAAGTAAGTTGAATTCAGTTTAGCAGATAAAATTATGATTTTTTTTTTGTTTACATTTATTTAATATCCATAAAGTTTCCTAAAATAGCCGTGCTGAGTTCAGGTACCTGTTGTGTTGTTTGTGGCTGCAAGAAGAACCAGATCAAACTAAGTCAGTGGCTACAACAACTGTGTTTTGAACGCCGACCTAAAACAAAAAGTGTTCCTGTGAAAAGCGATATAGTTTCCATCTGCTACCTACAGATGAGGAATTAAGAAGAATGTGGCTGAAAAATGTGAACTTGAAGAGACCGCCCAAAACGCTGTATGTGTGCTCATTTCACTTTGTCGACAAACGGCCGACGGAGTAAAACCTGCATCCTACTTTGTGGCTGGACTAAAATAAACTACCGGAGAAGAGACGTTGGATCCTCAGAAAGATTAAAGACAGTGATGAGAATATCAGGTATGATTCAAGTGTATGAGGAGCGCAGCTTTATAGTATTTGTTCGTCCTGGGTATTACGATTTTCTCTGTAATTAAGCCACGCTCGGTGATGGAGGACTTTACGGCTTTGGCTGGGCTCCATGTATGCTTTAAGGTAAATAAAATTGTGTCCCACCTCTTTTAACAAAACAAAACACCACTGACCGTATTACTGTGTAGATACTAATACACAGAGTATTTCAGGTTGTTCATCGCTTCAATGTCGGAAGCAACCGAGTCAGTGAAATGGCTAAATATGTTCATATATGCAATCTGCAGCCACTTCTTCAGGTCGCCATGGATTAAACTTCATCCACCCCAGCAATTTGAAAAAAACTATACTTTTCAGACATGTAAAAAGTAGAAAGCATAGTTGCCTTATATATATCTACATACATATATATGAGCATGTGTGTGTGTGTGTATATATATGGAGGTAGCCATCTTCCTCAGGCCATCAGGAAGTTTTCTTTAAGGAACCTAGATGCAGCCACACATCAAAATGGAAGTCGGTACCTCGCTTATTTTTCCATTACTCATTCATTCAACCTTTATTTATACAGTTTAATCCCACTGAACCTCGGGGACTCATTTACAAGAGAGACCTGATTTTAACAAAGAATGATGACAACAGTGGACAACAAGGACGCTTATCGTGCTAACAACAAGGACAGACGGACAGACAGGAGACAAAAAGAGGGCTTCTTTGAGGAGGTAAAAAATTGAAAACAAACACTAAAGCAGCAGGAGGAAGAAGAATTAGAGGTAAACGGGTACGACTTCAGCAACTGCATCAGATTTCACTTGACGTCTTCCACAGAGGTGGGTTTTGTGATGCTATAATATCTCCCAGGGATGCAGGCATTACACGGTAAAGGATAGTCACTGTTGAGGGCTTACCGAAATCATGGGATTAGAGGCATCCGTCTCAAAGCTCCCACCATAACAATTACTTAAAGCTGCTGCTCACCCACATCACTGAGGAGCTCAGTGAGCTCTGGACAGTTTCATGTCACTGGGGGGAAACTGTGTGATTAAGGTGCTCCTCTCCAATTTTACAGAAATGTTCCACTTGTGCACAACAAAAAGCGCTGCTGGTGTCAGTTTGGCACCTTGATGTCAGGCCTGTAATAAAGGCTTCAACAAACCCAATTTCAACATGAGTTTCAGCACTAATTCTGACGATGAAAGAGCTGTAGAAGAGAAGGATGTTGCTTTGGTTTGATATGTGACGTAGAGGACAAAGTGTCCTTCAGACATTGGACAGAAAACCAATCAAACTCTGCCCACTTAGTTAGTCCAGGATCATACATCAGCCCATCCGCAGCTTCTTTCCGTGACTCTACAGCTTCCTCATCCATTTAACATCCCCACAGCCAATTATAAAGGCATCAACAGAAATTACAGAAAGGATCGTTCCGTTTTAACTTTGTTCCATCTGAACCAGTAAAGAAGCAGGAGATGAATGCGTTTATGCTGATGAGGTCAAGAGTTTGGCGTGTGGTAATTACCAAAGTACAGAGGCATTTTATGTACTTAAATGTAAAAGAAACCACTCAGGAAAATAGTTATGGCAGCTTTTCCTCAACTTTCAAATAATCATTATCTCCCACACCTGAGTTTTCTAACACGGATAAAAAGGTAGGAATATCTGTGGGCTGCAATGTGTTCTTAGAGTTTACACAAAACAATTTTAACAATTTCCCACAACAGTGCCAATTGCTTCTTTACTGCAATACCTGCAGGCTGCCCAAGGAAGTTTACTCACATTTTATGTTGAATTTTAGAATAGTTTCATTTTTGCCAGAAAAAAAAACAGTAAAACCATAATTACCGGTACTAATTAATTTGGCTAAATAATAAATGTTACTTCTGAAAAGAAATTATATAATTTCATACTTGGAACTGTGTGCACTTCCTTCAAAATACTGTAGCAAATGTAAGAATATACACAGATCAAGCCCCAGGAAATCACTCCCATTTTCTTAATCCAGTAGACTTTAATGAAGGGGGCCAAAGCATATGAATTACAGCACCCTTAGCACCGCTGTTGCTGCTGACAGATCAAGACTATACCATAATACGTCTGCTTTTTGAAAAGCGGCTAAAAATTGGCATTCACCCATAATAATAATCCCTGGGGTTAATAAAGTATCTATCTATCCATCCATCTATCCATCTACATATCTATCTATCTATCTACATATCTATCTATCTATCTACATATCTATCTATCTATCTACATATCTGTCTATCTACGTATCTGTCTACGTATTTGTCTACGTATCTAACTATCTACGTATATGTCTATGTATCTATCTACATATCTATCTACGTATCAGTCTACGTATCAGTCTATGTATCAGTCTACATATCTATCTACGTATCTATCTACGTATCAGTCTACGTATCTGTCTACATATCTGTCTACATATATGTCTACGCATCTGTCTATGTATCTGTCTACATATCTATCTAAGTATCTGTCTAGGTATCTATCTATCTACGTATCTATCTACGTATCTGTCTACGTATCCATCTACTCATCTGTCTACGTATTCATCGATCCATCTATCTATTTACGTATCTATCTATGCATCTATCTGCATATCTGTCTACATATCTATGTATTTATTTACGCATCTATCTATCAACGTATCTATCTATATCTATAATCTGCCAATCTATCAGTCAATTTATCATCTGTCAAACTATCAATCGATCATGTCAATCTATCAATCTATCTATCATCTGTCAATCTATCAATCTATCATCTGTCAATCTATCATTAATCTATCATCTGTCAATATATAATCTGTCAATCTACCATTCTATCATCTGTCAATCTATCGATCTATCATTTGTCAATCTATCATCTGTCAATCTATTATCAATCTATCATCTGTCAATCTATTATCAATCTATCATCTGTCAATCTATCATTGATCTATCATCTGTCAATCTATTATCTGTCAATCTATCATCCTGTCAATCTATCCATCCATCATCTACCATCTATCTATAATCTGGCAATCTATCATTAAACTATCCATCTACCCATCCATCTACCCATCCATCTATCCATCCATCCATCCATTTATTTATTTGCAAAAACCCTTAACAGTTGACCACTATTTAAAAAGTAACTACACTCAAGATAAAAATCATCGTAAACAACGTAATATGTCTTGACCACAATCTTGTTGCGACTTTAAAGTTAATGATAAATATTAATGCAACAATACTCACTGGTTGAAGAGAACTCTGGAGCGCACAATGAACTTGAAGATGTATTCCAGAGCCTTCATGGCCTTCAGCAGCTGTTCTGTCAGCTTCTCTGCATTGTCCACGTAGTTCTTTAAAACTTTGGTGAGCTTCCTACAAACACAATACAATGTGCTCGTCACAAAATGGCCAATATTTGACTTTACCCGTCCACGTTCTGCTTGTATAAAGGAGAAATAAACTCACGTGTAGGCCAGAGTGGCGCTGAAATGCTTTCGAATGTAGGTTTCCAGAACAGGGTTAAAGTGCTGGAACTTTCTGTCGGCTATAAGTCCAATAATGAACACCTGTCAGTAAACAAAAGGCGCGCTCATTAAAATGTAAACCGCAGGCCTCATAATGAAGAGCACCAAACACTACCTGTCTTATTCAATCTATTGAAATAGATTGGGAAATTACACAAGATTACATTTGAGCAGAAAGCTATTTTCTCTCAATTCTCTCAGCTGCAGATAATCTTGGACACTTGATAACACAATTCATCCCTTCTCGTTCTGAAAGACAAAACTGCTCTTCTGAGATGGAACCCCCCTGATGTTAGGCGTCGGCATGCTAGAAACTTGGGTCGTGTAATTCAAGGCTACATTTACAGGCGACCAGTTGACAGAGTATTCTGTAAAACTCCAGTTTGTTTGGCTTTGTTATTCTTATAATCTATCTGTGCTCTCATAGTCTGAAGTGCGGGGGGGGGGGGGGGGGGTGGGATTGATTTCTATCACTGAAAGTTTAACGTACACCTATAATGTACAAAATTCACTACAGCGCACTGGGTCATACTGTCGCCACCATGCGGTTACAGTATTGGCATCAAGCGTCAGTTAAACACCCACCTTTCTTCAGAACTGGCCACACCTCCCGCAACCGCTGACGTATGGGAAGGCCCTATACTAGATCATGTGACCAGTTCTCAACCAATGATACCTCGTCATCTTGTGTTCAAAATGGAAGGTGCATGTCTGTTGCGAATTGAAGGCGTGTATCTAAAAACTACACTTTCTAACTGAAACAAAACCCAAAATCAAAAGATCTGCCTTGTATTAACACATGAATAAAATGCTATAAAAGCATACAGCAATACAAATAACCACATATTTCAGTAAGCTAATACATCATTCTGATAAAAATATATTTCTTTATGATCTTCTACTCGTTTGGTCTTAATGGAAAATTGGACTTTACTGTTAATTAAAACAAAATGTGGCGATACAAAAATATGCAGATATATTTATAAAGTCTAACATAAGATTCAGTGCTTGTATTTTCTCTGTAAATTGGCTTAGGTGTTAGATTGGAGATTGAAAATCACAATAGTTTTTAATTTACGTTTTATAGCCATCCCCTCTAATCTCTTGACAATAAGGATACAAAACATTTTTCTATGTTGACATATACGTAGGCCTGTCACGATATAAAATTTTGCTGGGCAATTAATTGTCTCAGAAATTATTGCGATAAACAATAATATTGTTTGAAATTTAACAAAAATTAGTAATTATTGTCAAATTTAAGAAGAAATGTTGGTAAATTCTTGTGTGTATTATATTTTTTGACCACTGAATGGCAGTATAAGACTGTTTGAACTGAAGGATGGATAGTGAGGGAGCGAGCGGCGTGTCTCTTTAAGAAAAATGGGAGGGAGGCCCCTTGACGTGACACGGGCTGTCTCTCGTTCCAGTTTTTCGGTTCTCAAAATGGCGAACACTCAGTGTGGTTTGAGCACTTTCGCATAGCATTTTTCAAGCTTTAATAAAAAAAATCACTAAACAAGTTCTCAGCTTCTTTTTGCAGAGAAAAACAACTTTTTAGACGAAGGCACGGGTTTTAACCGTGAATTTTGGAGCTTGGACAAGACGGAGGTTTTTACCCCGAGGTCGGTCTGTTAGCTTAGCTTTTCAGCTTAATTGCTTTTAATGATCCAAAAACCTAATTTTGGGCGGATAAAACAGATTTTTTTTTTTTTTAAAGAGAAGGGGAGAGGTCAGTGAAGAGCACCAGAGTTGTGCCTTTTGTCATCCAGTGTCTTCAGTAGAAAGAGAGAGAGACGAAGAAACAATAAAGCCGATAAATGAAAATGAGGTTGATAATTTTCAATTTCATGCGATTAATTGATTTATTGTTTATCGCGACAGGCTTACATATACGTATTTGAGAGAAAACATGCAAGTGCTAATAAAAACGAAATGTTCTGAGATCAAAATTCATTATGGTATTGAGGGATGTCCAAACAATGAATTAACATTTACTGATTGCATTTGAGCTACATTTGTTTGCAAGTTGTTATTTCTTTGACATGAAACCCGTTCTGCGCCTCCGCCTGCAGCCGTTGCTTACCAAAGCGTCAAACACCAAAGTATCAAACGTGTCGCTGTCAGAGTTTTCCATCATGATGTTGAAGAGCGCATCCAAAGTGTCTTGCAGAAACTGCAATGACAGATGCACAGTGCGTCAGAGCAGCTTAATAATAGAAGATGGCAATGAAAAACATAAATATATAAATTAAAAAGCGGTTATTAACTGTAAAACGTAAAAAAGTTGTTAAACCTCACATTTGATGTCTGGAAAAAGTAACTCAAATTAGGCATGCTGCAACAAATACCTGAAATCTATTACAATGTTGACATGCTCCCCCGTTGCTCTCATTTTACAGCTGTTAACACAAACCAGTCTGATTCTACCTAAACTGTAATCATTTCGCTGTCAGCAGCACATCCAGAAACACCAACTACACCTGTGTGCCCCTGAAGGAAACATGCTCTACAATTACTTGGCTAAATCCTAAAAAAAAAAAAAAGGTGTAAACATGTCAAAAACAGCTATCACTTCATAACGTGTTCAGTCCGTCAGCTCAGAACAGACGACGTTCACCATATTCTCAGTAAAAAACAACCAATGTGCAGTCGGAGGAGTTTTAACTGCAAACCAGTCTTATAGTCTAAACTGAAAGAGTAAAAAAACAAAAAACAAAGTAGAGGTTAAATCACTTAAGCACATCATATGTAAAAGCACTGCGCACACCAATGAAAAGAAAAGCTGTTTTGTAGAAATACCAAGTCAAAAATGTTATGTAATTGTCTACTAAAAGCCCCAAGATGCTTCAAAAGGACTGAAAGCTAATGTAGTGGTAATAATTACGACACCTACATGGTTAAATGAAATGATTTGGCGGTGGTTGACACATCTATCAAACCGCTTTGGTCGGGTCGGATAGATGGACTTCTACATATACATCGTGAGTTGCAGGCACTCAACTAGCCCACGCAAAAACTTTCTCCATAAAGTGCTATTTATAAGTGCCGCACTAAACCCGTAAATGGTCTGAGTTTGCATCTTCTTTCGTAGCCAGTGTGGTACCACGTGCGCCGTACTTGCTAGGTGACATCAAAACAAGAGAAAAGCACAAAACAAAAACAACCTGGTTGCTTTGACACAGAGAAATCACTTGAGAAATTGCTGCCAGGAAGCTGTCACTTTCAGGATTACTAAGAACAGATTGGTGACTGATTTGTTTACGCCACCAGCTGTCTAGATACTTTAGCCATTTGTGTTAAACTGTTTCGAAGCAAAAAGAAAACGGACATGTTCAATGGCGCAAAAGAAATAAAATAAAACTTGGATATGAATTGAGTAATATATGCCGACCTTGACGACCTCACCGCCTTCCACCTTCATCAGCTGACAGAGATTCTGCTGTAGGAGGCTGGTGTTCGAGCGCCACTTCAGCAGGCCGAGCAGGTCGACTGGAAAAGGCAAACAGGTGAAACTAATTACCGCTCTGCATATTGTTCAACCTCCGAACAGGAAAAAAAAGCAAAAGAAGTTTTAATATCCCTGTACGAACTGGAAAACAAGGTTTGAATTAAATAAGCGATGGCTCTAAATGTAAATTTATTTCCCCAAATACATCGCCTTTTTATTACATATCTCACTTTAAAGCATGGAAATTAATTTGAGAACAAACAAAGGAGTCGCCTTAAGAGTGATTTATCTTACTCAAAGAAATTCAAACCAACATTTGGGTTGAATATCAAATTAGGGATTTCAAAATGTTTCCTCTTATCAGCGAACTTTGGAACAGATGCAAGGAAGCAAGAGAAGTTATGTTAGTGTTTTAATGATGGGTTATAATCAAAGCTTTTTAGCCGTATCTAATGAAAACCAGCCACCTACTGAACACAAAATACAGACAAAGTCATCAGCTCACAATAAAAGTCTTTAAATGCAACATAACTGATAACTACAAGGTCACTGTAGAGGTCATTGTGGAGTTGTTAGCTTAATTCACAACTTGTCTGAAAATGTATTATTATAGAAAATGTATTTTTCCACATAAGTTGACTCTTTATTTTAAAATAAATGTAAAGGTCTGATCTTTTAAAGGAGTTTATGAAAATGCCATGAACAATCAATGTTCAACCTGTTGTAGATGGAGTTTAATTCTGACCAGATAAATGCTAACACCAACAAAGCCAAGAGCAAAGTGGATCATTGTTCCCTAAAAACCAACAATCTCATAATCATTATAGCAATTTATGAGAATGCTAGTTTAAAAACCTTTACTTTGTCATTTGTTTTGCAAACCACAGTTTATTTAGATTGATTTTTATGGTTAATTTATAAATGCATATAGCAGTGGCAGCTGATGCAGTCTGGGACACTTCCAGCAAGAATCTTAATATTTCTACTATGATAAATGTATCATGTGAAATTGATAAAAGGAGTAAAGGTTTATAAAACAGAATGATTTTTATTTTTATTTGCATGAGCAGCGATGAAATAATTTGTGATTAGAGTTTTTTGATACAACAAACTATTAATCTTGGCCTCACTTGAACTAGTGGTTAGTCTGTCAGTCTTGTCAATGAAAAAGTAAATAGCATAAGACTGCACTTTAAAGCAGGGTTTCTCAAATTGCAAAATGCAACCCTAAGTTGGGTCACAGGGTCATTCGGTAGGGGCGTGACCACTCCTAATTTTATTTTATTTTAATTTTCAGACATTAGAATTACAAGCAGAACTACTGTTCAATGTGTTGATTTAAATCAAGGACAAATGAAAGTTAAATATGGATCTGAGCAGAACATTCAGCATAAAGGCAGGTAGATGCACTGGTTTTCACCCCACATCTGTTTACTCGTGATTAAAAAAAACTGCTTCAACTTAAACAACAGATAAAAGATCTGTCAGAATAACAGTGAGCTTCAAGAAATAAATGTACCACTTTTCTTCTTCCAGCTATCTAACTGTCAACAATGGTGTCAACAATGGTGTACCACAAGGCTCAGTCTTAGGACTCACCCTATTCACAATCTAGATAAATAATGTACCGGTAGGTCATATTATTCCTGATGCATCTTTCCATTTCTATGCTGACGACACAGTTGTTTATTGTCGAGTTAGAACAGTTGCTAGGGTTTTCCATCTTTTACAGTCTTCATTCGACATCATCCAGTCAGATTTGTTCTGTCTCAAACTGGTGCTAAATGCTGATAAAACCAAAGGAATGTTGTTTTCAAACAGCAAAATGGTACCAGCAGTCCTTTCTCCTATCTTATCTACGAATGGTGTTCGTATTGAGTTTGTTGATTCTTACAAATACTTGGGGTATTTTGGTCAATTTGAATCTCTCTTTTAGGCCTCATGTCGAAAACTTGGTAAAGAAATTGAAAGTAAAACTAGATTCCTATTTTAGGAATAGAGCTGGTCTAACTCTGAATGCTAGGAAATGTCTTGTAACTGGGACTTTCCTTCCCTCCATTGACTATGGTGACATTATTTACATGAACGCCCCTACAAGCACCTTGCAGATGTTGGAGACTGTCTACCATGGTGTGCTATGAGTCATAACTGGCTGTAACTACCATACCCATCACTGCACCCTGTATTCACTGGTTAACTGGTCATCATTAACTTCATACAGACTCTCTCACTGGTACATTTTCATCTTTAAAATGCATCTTGGTCTGTTGCCTTCTTATATCTCCTCCTACATGTCACGTTGTCAGTGCAGTTACAGCGAGCGCTCTCAAGGCATAATTACCTGCAGTGTCCCCTCAGTGCGGACCGAATTAAGCAAAATAGCCTTCTACTCCTGTAACCTGAAACTTCTTGCAAAAAGATCTGAAGTTGTTGACTTTGACCTCTCCAAGTGATTTTAAACAACTGCTAAGTTCATGGCAAAAAAACAATGCGCAGACATGTTCCTGTTTTTAGCATTTTACATCACTTCATAGTGTAAATGTTTTTGTTTCGTTTTAATATTTCTTTAATTTACTTTTCATTTTATATGCTTTTATGTGATTGTCTGTACCTCATCTGTGTTCTTTTTTTAAAACAGGTCTCTCTTGTAAATGAGTCCTCGAGGATCAATGAGACTAACCTGCATAAATAAAGGTTGAATGAACGAATGTGTGTGTGTGTGTGTATCTGAAAACTGACCGCTGAAAGAAAGTGTGAAGTTTGACAAACTGATACTTGACATGTTACACTCAAGTCGTAATTCTCTCAAGATGTTTATGATTCAGGAAAATCACTTTTGTAAAACGCATTAGTGAAGAATAAAATATCAAGCCCCAAATGCTCCGTGAAACGACTTCCACCCTCATATAAAGGGATTCAATATTTCTGTCAAATACCTGTAATTTTAATTTTAGAAGAGCTTGAACCATTTGTTAAAGATACACAGGAGAAATGGGCTAATTGCAGCTTTTATTACTTTGATCATGAACCCTTTTATACAATGTTTATGTTTGTTAGGTTTCTGTGTAGAAAATTAACTTTTATTAAGGTTTTATTAAGGAATGAAAATTGTTTTCTCTTTAAAAAGTAATCAAGGCATGAAAAGTTTGCTTTAAAGTAGCTGAAATATTCCTTTAAAATGGACAACCAATTGTCAAGCTTGAGGTTGCATCTCCTCCTCATTTACAGTCATCCCAACCTGTACTTCTGGGACCCTCATCTCTAGCAGCTTCATTTATCTATCCACCTAATTGGCTATTGGGAGAGGCACTCAAGCGTGGGGACACTTTGATGAACGCCCATCATCTGTAAACCTGACAAACCATAAAGGTCCTGCCACAATCCCCTGTCTAAAGTACCAAGTGCCATCCTCCACAAAAAAAGAAGACATAAATTTAGAAATTGATGGTATGGGACCTCAAAGTACCAAATGGAACTCAATGAAGATAAATCATCAGACAGCTTGATCTCAATAGAGCAGTACTGTTAGAGGCCAGGACACAGGACGGTAAGGTTAATGTGTGGGGGGAATCTGCTATGCTTCTGAGAAAAGAAAAAAAAAAAAAGAGTTGGAAAAAAAGAAAAAACAACAAATCGTCTTCAACAAATACCATCTGCTTCACAATAGCTGTTTCTGAGGGGAAGGCTCATTTAAGATTCAACAAAACTGGCAGATGGAGAGCTGTGGGATAATTAATTTTAACAAAACAGGTTTACTGTCACCGCACAATTGAAATGCAAAGCGCTTCATATTGCCACATTAATTTTCAATGACAAATCAACTTGTCTATCTTTCGGAAGCAGGGACAAAACAGTGGCTTTTCCCCTAAACTAACAGCAGCCTGAGTTGTGGTTGTGAAATTAACAGAAAGTGCAATTCATGGAAGTAGAAGCAGCTTCCCGTGGATCTTGAGCATTACTTTCCTACGTTAAAACTATATTTGTTCAGGAATTTCCTCGTAGTAATGGTATTTAGTAGGGTGCTTCTCCTGCAGTCTCCGTTTAGTAATACATGCTGCAAATACCCAGGGAAGAACAAGCAGCCACTTCACACAAGCTTCTAGTGCGGAGAGGCCGCTTGCATAAATCCAGCTAAATTAAAACGAGCGTTTCATCTCAGCTGTGGGAATCCATGATGAGGTGTCGTGTTTATAAAACAAGAAGTCTGTAGATAGGGGCGTTCAAGTGCTCTTTTTTCTTTGCAAGTGCATGCCTTCCAGAAAACCTCATAGGACCGACAAGTTAAATTGATCCTTTGTTAAAGAAATTTAGATATGTTTCCAACAACAGGTAGACATTTCTATTCCATTGATTAGATGTATATTTTTGTACATTAAATAATACAGAAATCATTTTAGAACAGGTGGCCTGCAATAAACCTTAAGAGAACAGCATATGGAACATTATACGCTCATCGACAAACTATTAAATATCAATACAACAATCTAAGGTAATGGCCTGGACAAGCAAAGACCCTTTTTAAATTTTGACCTTGATTTGTGACCTTGACCATGAAGCTAGGGAGATGAAAACTACAGTATATGCAACACTCTGTCTAGTTGCGATGCACATGTGCATGAAGTTTAGTTAAATTATCTTGAGCCGATCAGAATTTATGGGCGAGACCAAATAAATTGTGGGACATGCACGTGAACAGATGGAGGCTATACCATAATTAATCTGCCCTCAACGGGCATATAAAATGAATAAGAAACTGATATAAAACACCTATAAATCCATCATCCCTTTGACACTTTAATTACAAAAGAAAGGCTTTTGCTGGAGCTTTTCACATAATATGAGGTGACAAGGCCATTTGATCCCCATCTACTAAGAGGTGCCGAACAAATTAACCCTACGAGTCAAGAAAACAAGTAGAGAAGCAAAACAAAAACCTTTTGGATGTGCTTTCCTTCCCACTGATATAACTTGACAGAAATCGGATTTTCTGAATGAGCAACTGAGAAAGTGTTTGTCATCCAGGTTGTGATAAATCCCCAAC